ACCAAAATAAATCTTTCCTCTTTTAAGCTGATTCGGTTAGGCATTTTACACAGTAACAAAAGTGAGCATTAATGGCAAGAATGAGTCAAGAGGAACTGGGCAATGTCCCACATATAACAAATAATGCAGCTAGAATCAAGACTCTTCTCAGTTGTTTCCAAAGTATAGGTGCCAAGAATTTTGTTATTAACTTCAGAATAAGAGACATTATTTACTAAAGAAATTATGGAATTTAAGGTGAAATATGATTGTGAATTCATAGGCATTTCATAAAATGAACAGATCCCTTATTACATAATGAAAAATTAGGTTTTCTGTAATGATCTTCCCTGCTATGCAACCTTGAGACATTTCTTTAACTTTTATTAGGTTCTCTATCCATAGGAAAGAAGTAATGACTTTAAAATCATGAAGTTGTGAAATAAATGAGATTATGTTTCTAAGTTTCTCTATATAATGCTTGTAACATCACCGAACAATTGAGTAACATTTTTAGCCTTATATTGGTTTGTTTGTTTGTTTGTTTTTTGGCATTTACCTGAAGGGGGCAATTTCAGAATTTGTTTTAATCAGAATGGGCTACGTTTTGCTGTCCTAATGAATAACCTGAATATGTCAGTATGTTACAACAGAGGTTGGCTTTCTCCTCCTAACACTTGACCACTACAGGGTAATTATGGTTCTGGTCCTTATCATCTCTGAGATCCAAAGTTTCAATGCATCCATGATCTGAAACATTGCTAGGAGCTGTGAGCATGGGGAGAAGACAATTTGGTATAAAAGGTTTAGGTAGAACCAACATGGGTCACTTTTGTTCTTATTAATTGATCAATGCAAGTCACATGGCTATAATTAGGTCTAAAAAGGTGGAGAAGTATTCGTCTACATGAATAATACTGTTTTGATATAGGGTAGACTGCTTCAATTGTTTGCTTATTTCCCAGCTTCCTTCCCATGAGCTCTCCAGGAGAATAGGAAGAAAATATTGAATCACAGAAATATCAATTCATGGAAAAACATTTTTATATAGGCATACCTACTTACGTTTTTAAACTTCAAGTAAAATACAATTTCTATGAAAACCTTAGATTTTCTTTTGCTAGAAATTTAACTTCCACTGTGGTTATGACGCTTTGCTTTTTAGTGCATAAAGCCATCTGTTATGTTGCATTAAGGACCAAGCACCACTAATTTGAACCCAATGTCTACAATGCTTCAAAATATGAAACTTTTCCTTTGGGATTTTTTATTCTTTGATAAATTTCATACATGACTACTGTCTCTCCTTAATTGGTTAGTCAATACCATGTAGTCACCTGAAATCATATACAAACAGCACTAAACAGACTCAGCAGTTTATAATTAGATATTTATGTACACACACATTGTATAACAATAATAAAGAAAAAGAGGCTCCAGTTTTAAAAAGAGAGGTGGGGTAACATGGGAGGAGTTGGAAGGAGGAAATGTAAGAAGGGAAAATATATAATTATATTCTAATTTAAAACTTAAAATCTTAAACTGAAAAAAGTGAAATGTGGATCCGAAGAGAGATTTATCAAGAAAAAAGAAATGAAAATGGCTAAGAAATACCTTTAAAAGTGTTCAACATCCTTAGAAATTAGAAAAATGCAAAAATATAAAACCTCTGATCACTAGCATGACTCTATAAGTAGGAAATTTTGACAGATCGCATTCAAGATGCAAACATATTAAAAGTATCCTATGAGGCCAATGAGATGACTGGGAAGATAAGACATTTGTTGAGGACCTGAGTTTAATCCGATGACCCACAGAGTGGAAGGAAAGAACTGACTCCTGGAAGTTGTCTTCTGGTCTTCACACATACTGTAACATGAACAAATGAGTGCACGTGGCATAATACACAAATAAATAAATAAATAATAAGTGTGATGAAAATCTGTTAAAAATTAAAGTTGTTTTTATGAACTTAACTTGAAGCTATGGTACCTTGTTCATTGTTACAACCCTTATATAGTTCAGTGTCTTCTACATAATTAATTCAAATATTTATAGAAGTAAAATGGAGATGAGTGTTGGGAAGTGCATATCAGGTTGATGGGGGTAGTGGAGAAATTTCTCCTCTTGAAGTCAAATATGTTTCTTTTGGAGATCCTCTGTAGTAATCATGGAACACTGCCTGGGGAGATTGGAATATCAGTTGAGACTCCAGAGAAGCACTCTTGAATGGTTCAGGAGTGGCAGAAGCTGCTAGAGAAAATGAAAGCCACCAGAGAGCTATCTAAGTGGATTTATAATTAGTAATTACTTCAGGAAACATTTTTTTCTATTCTGATGATAGAGATTGCAGAATTGCACGAGAGTGTTTGCTCACACCCTTTCCAGGATACATTAAGCCCTTATAAACAGAAAAAGAAATAACCTTAACATTAGTAGAAGCAGCAGGAAAGCAGGTTATTTGAAGCTATCCCCAATCCACAATACTAAACATGTGGCATTGTATGCTTATCACGTGGGTTAATCATGTCTCCATGTATGTTTTTATCCAAAAATCTAGTACTAAGTCACATCTGTGGAAGAACTAAGGGAAGAAGATGCGTTCCAAGTGACGAGTGATACCATGGAATCATTTGTATAATTTAAATTTAATTCTGGGCTATTAAGAATCTGCTATGCACCAGACACTGTGATCATTAAAATCTACTCAGTCATTGAAACAATTTTCATCCCCCTTTCAATATATCTTTATAAATGATTTCCCCTTTTCTGAAATATTCTGATCTTTTTATCTTCCATAACCTCTGATTTCAGTTTACACATCATATTATTTGGGAAGCATTCATAGGTCTCCAAGCAAAGATTTACTTTCCTTTCTACGTGCTTTCACAACAATAGAAACATCCCTTCTATTGCAAGTATATTGTACTCTCTGTCTTAATTGACGGTAGCTTCCATGAATCTATCCACTCTGGGAAGGCAAGACCTATTTCTTGTCCATTTCTGTATTCTCTGCACACTGTGATGCCTGATGAAAGTTAATCAATTCATCATTATCTTTTTATAGCTATTCTATGGTCATATTGGTCCAACATCAGCTGTGATGTCAGGGGCCTAGGATAATGCTAAGTGACTTATACATTTAAGGGATTTATCTGCACATTACTAACAGTTACAAATGTTGAAGAGCTGTCTTCAGAATGTTGGTGGATGGCTTTGCCAGAGGAATCTGAGCACCGTATTTTTTTTCAATCAAATTAACAAAAGCAGAAATTAAGATCCATGTTTTGACTTGGCTCTGTGATTATCTGGCTTTGTGTTCTTGGGGGATTTTTTTCACCTTCCTAAACTGTTTTCTTTATGTAAAACAAAATAGCAAATATGAAATAAAAAGTATGACAACTTTAACACTCTTTTATTACAACTATGTGGCAGTTTTAAAACTGACCCTGAATAATCTCTGACTTCTGTGCATTCCATTGATGGAGCCTGTCTGCCGAATTGAAGCTGGAGCCCTTGTTCCACAAGGAAAGTGGGCTTTGGGGTTGCAGGACAGAGGAAGCACAGTGGAAGCGCTGCTGGGCCAGTCTCAGGCACAGACTGAGAAACTGACAACTTCAACTTCCTGTTTCTTGGACTTCTCATATTTGAAGCAAGCAGTCATGCTACAGGAAGGCCAGGCACCCTGTGGAGAGGCTGCTGTGGAAAGGAACTGCATTCCTTGTCCCTAACTAAACCTGAGCTCTCCGCTAATATTCAACAGCAACTGAGCAGCCAAGCTAGGAAGCCAGTTTGAAAGGATTTCTTCAGGCTCCAAGTAAGCTTATCCTATTGGATGGTGCCTAAAATACAAAGGAGTTGGTACTGCCTAGCCCTTCTTAAACTAAAGAGTCAAGAACAAAATAAGTAAACAATTATTATTTTTAAATCACTAGGTTTTTTCACAGCAATAGATAATTGATATATACCCTTTATTATATTACAGTGCCTCTGACCTTTCTTCTATTCTGATATTGTGGTATGTGTAAAATTAGCTCCAGATTTCTTACAAATCAATGAGTAACCTAAATGGATAGCAGGAACAATGACAGTAAAGAAAGTATACCATTAAGCCATCAAATGGTAGGTGAGTGGTATGTTTTTTATATCTTTCTGCAGAGGTTAATGGAGAGAGCTCTGGTTAAAGTAACTGACTTAGGTGCCACTGAGCCAACCACTCCCCACTGGAATGGAAGTTCTTTGAATGTCACTGATTCTGTGAAGGACTTTATGGAGATTGTCATCAATTTTGAGTGGGTCCCCAAACCACAGAAAAGGCTTTCTGTTCAGTTATTTTGTGCAGAGTGATCTTTCCAGCGTGGGATACTAAGGTGTACATTCACCATGGTCTTTGTCAGTGGCCTGAAGTTTGAAATTCAGAGGATTTCTGTGAAATGACATTGTACTATATTATAAAACAATGCATTTACATCCAGATTAATAAACTGTTGTTGAAATAGGAGCGGCGGGGCTGCGTCCCCGGCACCCGGCCGCCCGCATGGCTAGCTTATGCCCAGAAATAATTACACGGAAACTGTATTCTTTCAAACACTGCCTGGCCCGGCTAGTTCCAGCTTCTTATTGACTAGCTCTTACATATTGTTCTAACCCATTTTTAATATTCTGTGTAGCCCACGAGCTGGCTTACCAGGGAGGATCTTTTTTA